TATCTTATACCACACACAAAAATTAATTTGAAATGGATTAAAGACATAAATGAAAGACCTGAAATCGTAAAACTCCTAGAAGAAAACATAGACAGTAAGCTCCTTGACTTTGGTCTTGATGATGATTTTTTGAACCTGACAGCAAAAGCAAAGGCAACAAAAGCAAAAATAAATAAGTGAGGCTACTTCAAACTAAAAAGCTTTGGTACAGCAGAAGAAACCACCAACAAAATGAAAAGGCAGCCTACTGAAAGGGGAAAATAATTTGCAAGTCCTATATCTGATAAGGGCTAATATTCAAGATATATAAAGAACTCGTGCAATTCAGTAGCAAAAAAAAAAAAACCAAAACAACCCACAAAAACAAAAAACAATCTGATTTAAAAAGGGGCAGAAGATCTGAATAGACATTTTTTCAAAGAAGACATATAGATAGGGACACCTGGGTGGCTCAGTCATTGAGCATCTGCCTTCAGCTCAGGTTATGATCCCAAGGTCCTGGGATTGAGCCCCGCGTCGGGCTCCCTGCTCTGCGGGAAGCCTGCTTCTCCCTCTCCCACTCCGCCTGCTTGTGTTCCCTCTCTCGCTGTGTCTCTCTCTGTCAAATAAATAAATTAAATTAAATTAAAAAAAAGAAGACATGGGGTGCCTGGGTGGCTCAGTCGTTAAGTGTCTGCCTTCGGCTCAGGTCATGATCCCAGGGTCCTGGGATCAAGCCCCACATCGGGAAGCCTGCTTCTCCCTCTCCCACTCTGCCTGCTTGTGTTCCCTCTCTCGCTGTGTCTCTCTCTGTCAAATAAATAAATTAAGTTAAATTAAAAAAAAAGAAGACATGGGGTGCCTGGGTGGCTCAGTCATTAAGTGTCTGCCTTCAGCTCAGGTCATGATCCCAGGGTCCTGGGATCAAGCCCCACATCGGGAAGCCTGCTTCTCCCTCTCCCACTCCGCCTGCTTGTGTTCCCTCTCTCACTGTCTCTTTCTCTGTCAAATAAATAAATAAAATCTTTAAAAAAAAAAAGAAGACATATAGATAGCCAATAGGTACATGAAAAGATGTTCAACGTCATTAATTGTCAGGGAAATGGAAATGAAAACTACAATGAGATGTCACCTCATACCTGTTAGAATGTCTGTTAAATCAAAAAGACAAGAAATAACAAGTGTTGACAAGGATGTAGAGAAAAGGGAACCCTTGGATACTGTGGGTAGGAATGTAAATCGGTGCAACCACTATGGAAAATCATATGGCGGTTCCTCAAAAAATTAAAAATAGAACTACTTTATTATCTGGCAGTTCCACTTCTGGATATTTATCTGAAGAAAACAAAAACATGAATTTGGAAAGATATGTGTACCACCATGTACATTGCAGCAGCATTTAAAATAGCCAAGATATGAAAACAACCTAAGTGCCTATTGATAGATGAATGAATAAAGAAATTGTTACTTATATATATGCATATAAAATATATTTTCTGTGGAATATTATTCAGCCATAAAAAATACAATGTTACCATTTGCAACAACATGGGTGGACCTCAAGGGCATTATGCTAGGTGAAATAAGTCAGGCAAAGAAAAATACCAAATGGTCTCTCTTACATGTGGAATCTTAAAAAAAACATACAAATAAGCTCCTGATAGGTACAGAGAACAGATTGGTGGTTGTAAGAGCCAGGATGGGTAAAATGGGTGAACTGTTTTCTTGAATCAAAAAAATTTGATAGTTGATATGCCTACTACTATCTGAAAGCCCCACTCCCTGCTATCTCTAAAGTTCCACTGAATCTGCTGTAGGAAATAGTTATGTTATACTTTGTGGAACATTTTGTAGACCTCCTTTCACATGCTTCTGATAATATACTTAGCACTTCCTTGTAGCTTGTTGTTTGTCTCCCACACTATATCTGAGCCCCTTGAAGGGAAGAACTGTGTCTCATTCATGACAGTTGCTGGCGTTACCTAGCTCATGGTGGGTGCTCAGCACATGTTTATTAAATGACATTGCTTTCCACAGCAGAGGGAAGCAAGCTTGAAAGGAACAACACAACCTCATCTTAAATACACAGTAACTTTACACTAAGCACAAATTTTAGCACTAAAAATCTATTTGACAGTTGCATGATTTTTTCCTCCTTTATCTCTCATATACAATCATTTGTAGTTTTATGAATTCTTTTTTTTTTAAGATTTTATTTATTTACTTGTCAGAGAGAAAGAGGCAGGCAGAGGGAGAAGCAGGTTCCCCACTGGGCAAGGAGCCTGATACGGGACTCGATCCCAGGACCCCGGGATCATGACCCGAGTCGAAGGCAGACGCCCAACCAACTGAGCCACCCAGGTGTCCCTTATGAATTCTTTCTAGAAATGTTTTTTGATTCTGACCCTTCCATGCCATCCTACTGCCATGCCATGCCTGGTCTCAAGTGTCATCCTTCTCTTCCCTTGCTTGGACTATGGAAACAGCCTGCAAGCCTCTCCCAGACCTAGTCTTCTATCTACTTCTCCACACTGTTGCTGTCCCCAGCAAGTCCTTTGGCCTACACTCCCTGTAGGATAAGGGGTAAACCTGTGCTCTCCAATACAGTATCCACTAGCCACGTGTGTCTGTTGAGCTCTTAAAATGTGGCTAGTCCAAATTGGGATGTTATAGATAAAAATCCCACACCCTATTTTAAAGACCTAGTGAGAAAAAAATGTAAAATGTCTCATTAATCATTTTTATATTGATTACATGTTGAAATGGTTATATTTGCGATAAACTGGTCTAAATAATGTATCATCAAAATTAAATTCTATTTCTTTTTATTTTTTTAATGTGGATATTGGAAAATTTGAAATTATGTGTATGGTTCACCTTATATGTCTATTGGTCAGTGCTAGTCTTTTTTTTTTTTTTTTTTTAAGATTTTATTTATTTACTCATGAGAGACAGAGGCAGAGGGAGAAGCAGGCTCCCAAGGAGCAGGGAGCCCAATGCGGGACTCGATCCCAGGACCCTGGGATCATGACCTGAGCCCAAAGCAGACACCTAACCATCTGAGCCACCAGGCGCCCTGGTCAGTGTTAGTCTTAACTGTATCATGACATTTCAAGTTTCTTATAACCTGGCCTCAGACACCTCTTTAGCCTTGTGCCCCAGCCCTTCCTGACCTCTTTAGAATTTCTCGTAACCCCCAGATCTCACCAAACCTATTTATACTTGTGAGTTGTTTGTTTTTTTTTGTTTTTCATATACTCTTCCTTCTTCCTGAAATGTCCTTCCCTTTCTTTGTTAGCTCTAAAAATCTTACTCATATTTTTAGGACCTGATTTAATTGTCCCATGCTGGTGAAGTTATGCCCCGTTTCCTCAGAGAGAATTAGCCAGTTCTCCCCATCACAGGCTCTTGATGCCTCTGTTATTATGCTTACATTGCTGTGATGCCATGATATGTCTTCTTAACTAGGCTTCTCAAGGGAAAAGGCGCAGTTTATTCCTGTGATGACCCATGAGGGCAGTATCTGGTGTGTACTAGGCATTTAATCGACATTTATTAAATTAATGTATGAATTAATGTAATCCTACTGCTGTACACACTGCTCTTTTTACATATATCCAGCCTTGATCATCTGAACCATTGGCCATGGAAAAAATTGGATGTTGAGGTGGACAGCGCTGGACTTCTCAGCCATGACCCCAATTTCAGACTTTTATGTTCAATAAAATGGCCTCTTCATCCTGACTGGTTGACTTACAGTAATTAAAAAATTATATATCTGAACTTATGAAATCTATGGATGAGAGTACAGACTGAGAGTATAAAATGAGAGTATAAGTGACACTTTTACTATTTTGTATACAGGGATTTCATATAAGATTTTTTCAGTTGAAGATTCCACTTCTAAACAAGATTGAAAGTCACTGTTCTAATCCTAAATTTCATTTCCATTTCCATCCCAAATGTTTCCTAGTTTCTGGTGTCATGAGTGTTCATACAGCATAAGACTTCTCAACTCTGGCTGCATGATAGATACAACTGGGAAGCTTTCAAAAGTACTGATGCCCAGGCCCACCCCCAGGGATCCTGCTGTAATTGGGCTGGGGGAGGAGTGCCTAGTTACCAGTATTTATGAATAGCATAAATATCTTTTGATAAGGTGATTCCACAAGTGCTTAAAGAGCTAGGTACACTATAAAAATGTTGAAGTTTTTAGGTGATCATTTTTCTTTCCTTTTATTAACGATATTGTGAGTAAAGGTAACGTGATGGGGGCGCCTGGGTGGCTCAGTCAGTTAAGCGTCTGCCTTCGGCTCAGGTCATGATCCCGGGGTCCTGGGATCGAGCCCCGCATCGGGCTCCTTGCTCGGCGGGAAGCCTGCTTCTCCCTCTCCCACTCCCCCTGCTTGTGTTCCCTCTCTCGCTGTGTCTCTCTCTGTCAAATGAATAAATAAAATCTTTAAAAAAAAAAAAAAGTAACGTGATGTTATTCTTAATGTAGGACTTCAGGGTCAAAACAAAATTTAATTAAGCCTAACTTCTGTAGACAATTTCCTAAGTTGTCTGAAATTAAAATTTCCCATTTCTCTAAAACCTACATGCAGCGGAACTTTAATGTCCCTTACTGGTAGAAATAGCTAACAAAAGATCTATTTTAGATCATGGAAAGGGGACTGACAAGGGCAGTGGGTGTAAAAGTTTGCACAGGTAGTGGCCTTCCTTGCGTGCTTGTTAGCCTGAATAAACACTTCTCCCATGACAGAACCTCCATAGCCCTGCCATGTTGATAAAATCTGACATTCTGCTTAATCACTTTTTAATGATACTGTTCCTTTTGTTCTTGGTATGTGAGAAACCAGTGCTTTTTTTTTAAGGTGTGGGAAAGAATTAGCTTGAATTTCCTAATTCTGTAAAAACAGGCTGGTAAGGCACATATAATTCTTGTGGGGACAGGAGAAAAAATTACTAATTTCTGTTTATCACAGGTCTTTCCATATATTTTTAAAAAGTTACAAAGTTCCTGAAATTTTGAAAAGAAGAAAATCCAGGATCAGTGCTCTGGCACTTGGTAAGAAAATCCCATGAACTCTTGATAGCATGTTCCATGATTTATACTATTAAAATGCAGATGTAAATTAGCATACGTTTTGCAAATTATCGATTTGTTGAAATGGCTGGCTCTCAAAGAAAGGAAGAAAGGAAGAAAAAAAGAAAGAAAGAAAAAAGAAAAGGGAAAGAAAGAAAGAAAGGAAGAAAAACACACACACTTGGGATGGAACCCTTTAGGGCATAAAAAGGAATAGAATCCTTTATTTAGTTAACTTCGTTATTTGCAGCCGGTATGTCATCTGTGAGAGACTGATGTCATGCAGATTGAATGCAGAGGCAAACGTGTGTGTGTGTGTGTGTGTGTGCGTGTGTGTGTTCGTGCGCACGCTTGCGTGTGCTTTAAAGCCCCACTCCCAGAATATGAAGTGAGTGTGAAGGGCACCACAACAACCCCTGGATCTGTCAAGAATGTACCTATTTTTAACAAACTGGATCAAGTGTCAGCGCTCAATAGGAGATGAAGAAGGGGGTAGAGACTGTGTTCTTCAGATTCAGCGGATGGTAAACGGCCCTCTGGCATGTTTACAATACAGCTGTGCGTTCTTAATGGCTCTGCTGCTACCACGTCAGGTAAAGTTTTCTTTGCACGTGATGAATGGCAGAGAATTCTTTAGCAGAGGGAACCAAAGGGTCTGGGAGGAGGAAAAGGGAAGGGAAGAACGGAAAAGAGAGAGAAAAAGAAACACGCAGCTCCAGAGGGAGATAGTCTGTGCTTTGCAGTTGCTTGTGTGGATAGAAACCAGATGGTAAGCTGGAACACCCGCTTGGCTATCCGAGGAGCCAAACATATGGTTAATGGTCGGGAGAAATAGCTTTCAGAGCCAGGGCTTTGCTGACTGCTTCATATTACAGATTGTTACAGTGTGTCATTACATTGCCAACCTAAGTGCTTAATACCCACTGCGGGCGCTGGGCATACACTTACAAGAAGGACTTTTAGCTTTTTGCTGGCTCTGAATGCAGAAGTGACATCATAGGGAGGCTTAAAATGTCTGGTGTTGGGAGGTAGGGAGAAGAGTAATTCTGTAGTGGAAACAACATTTTTTTTTTTTTTTTTTGCAAGCCAAGCCTTCACTCCACTGAACTCTCCTGTTTTTCTGAGAACCTTTTTATACAGGAATCTCTCTCTCTTTCTCTCTCTCTCTCTCTCTCTCTCAGACACACACATACACACACACAAGTTCTGAAACAGAAATCTAAAACACAGGCCATGCCCCCCTCCCTCCTCCAGTGGATCTGACAGCCCCCTTTCACCTGGAAGCCACATCGCCGAGCTCATAGGGCCTGCATTTGAAGTTTCTGTTTGGGGAGCTTTGGGCAACAGCAGGCCTGTGTTATCTAAGGAACTGCTGAGCCCATTCATCTGCTTTTCACGGCCCGCTTCCTTTTATTTTTAGCCAAATCCGTCAGGCCTGACAGGCGGGTAATTCGAGCCAGAGAAAGGGCAGAGCTCCAGGTCCTTTCCACAAAGCAATTCTTCTCCTCCCTCCTGGGAGGGCTCCAGACTTGGCCTGCTTCAGGCAGATGGATTTGTTGAGTCATGTGAGATCATTTACACAAAAACACAGTGAGGCAGTGGAAATTTAAAAAAAAAAGAGAGAGAGAGAGAGGGTGGGGGAAGAGGAAAGAGGAGGGAAGCCAGGGGGAGTGTGTGCTGCCGTGGCTGCTGGGGAGCATAGGAATTTTGCAGCAAGGCAGCTAGACTGAGGAATGCTGTAGATTCATTTGTGTATAAGGTAATGTCTAGTTTACACAGTGGGGTGGAGCCAGGCCGGGGAGGCTCCTCAAACTATTCGCCTGTATTTAAAAGCAGAACGGGGCGTGGGGAAACTTTTTTTTTTATTTTTAAAGCAACACCCACCAAACAAAGACCACACTGTTGACAGCATTGGGTTCCAGTAGCAGTAAACTACCAGCAGAATGGTTTAGGGAAAATGAGTTTGCTCTGTGATGTAATACAAGTTTGCTTTGTCCTGACTCCAGCATGACTGAGGCAACAGGGGAGGGAGGAGAGGAAAATTGAAACAGGACTCTTGGTTAATGGTTTCCAGAAATTATTTAGCAGGACTTGAGTGGAGAGAGGAAAGTGGGATAATGTGGAGAATTACTTCGAGGTATACCATAATTGAGGTAGGTAAAATAAAGTCATTACTATGGCTTCCTTGCTCAAGAGGAATTGAGCAATGATTTTGAAATGCCATGGAAGGTAGCATTTTTCCCTACCACAGTATTCCTTTTCCTCTGGCTTCTGGAACATTAAGAAAAAAAAAAAAAAAGCCCAACTCTTGCATCATAGTAAACAGTATTAACAGTTCATGAATCAGTTTTGTTTACTTTTTATACCACAAGCCTCTAAAACAGTCCATTAAAAAATTGTCTTCTGCTCATTCATGAAATTCTTTTTGTTCTTCAAATGTGCTTCACATGCATTAGCTGTGCTTGGAAGCAGATTTTTCCTTCTTTTGCTGGACTAAAAGAGTTCAGGAGAGAATAACGACTGGGTTATCTTAACCATATGTTCTTATACCCGATGTAGTGAGAGTATGCTATGTAGAGGAAAGGGAATATTTTGAGATAGGTTCAGAAAATTAAAAATGGGAGAATTTCAAAATATGCACCATGATTACTCTCATTGTGACACATTTCTGCAATTCTGCATTTATTTAGAGCTCTACTACGCACCTGTTTTCCTCAGTCTCCCTGGAATGTAGGTCAGCATCACTACGGTTTCTCATACTTGTTGATATTGTAGAAGTTGAAACATTTTGCCATTTTTTCCAGACCTACATATACTCAGTTTATATATATATGGTTTTAATAATCATAGAACATAGCTCATAAATTCCTTCTATGAATACTCACCACGGAGTTATGATAGTAAACATTCAGATCACACCTTTACCTAGAATAACACAGCACTCACAGTGGTGCTGAAAAGAGTCTAGTCGAACCGCTCCACTGTTTTCCAGGTAGTTCTAATGATCTAACTCTGCATAGGTAAAAGGTAGTTTTCATTTATTTTACTCGAAGAGAGAATTGGTAAATTTTTGTGGGTGTTAATTGTGCACATTTTGACTATAGGATATCAACATTAGCGTTATGTGATTGAGAGTTGTCATTATTTTGGATGACCCTGACTGCTTACCTGTGCTAGAAATAACAGCATCTACAGTGAAGACTTATATATATAGCGATGACTAGATTTTCCTTAAGACTCCACATGAGCGCTATAATATTTTTGATATTAAAAAAAAGCATATTTGTCACAGAAATTTAGTTAACATCTTATAACTAAACATGTATGTACGTTACTTAGATAAATTTAGTCACTGTAAACATCTATATGATCTGGGATTCTGTTTTTATTTTGAAATGGAAGCTTTTTTGTTTTCAAACTCATTAAAAACTGAAAAATGTTTCTGTGATGAAAAAAAAGATTCGTCATTATTTTAAACCTATCCACATTCTTGAGTGTTCCCTCTCCATCAGGGTTTCTCAAACTCGGCACTGTTGACATTTTGGACTAAATAATTCTTTATTATGGGGGCTGTTTTGTGCATGGTAGGATATTTTAACAGCATCCCTGGCCTCTACCCACTAGATGCCAGTAGCAGTCTCCCCCAGTCATGACAAAAAGAAAAAAAAAAAGTCTCCATGCATCGTGAATGTCCCCTGGGGGGCAAAGTCACCCTGGCTCAGAACCACTGCTGTATTCTTATTTTGGTTTGGAAATTCACTCTTTTTCTCATGAGCTGGGCACTCAGTTACTTCTGAGATTGAATTCAAGGGTATAAAGTAACATTTTCCCTCCTGTCCTTTATCCCAAAAGTGGGAACCCCAAGTTAGGTAAAGTTTTCCAAGGCTCAAGCAAGGGTGTTTTGGGGGAAGGGTTTTCCTCCCAGAAGACCTGGAGCCTTGTCACACAGAGCAGTCTCACTCTCTCAGGATGCTGGCCTTAGCAGGTGGAACCCTTCAGGGCCGCGCAGCGACTTTCCCAGAGCCGGTCAAGAGGAAGTGGCCCCACCGACTGAGCTTGGGGATGTTGACACAAGAAGAAAGGGAACTTCTCTGCAGGGACCGGAGCAGAGAGCCTAGGCCACAAGTTCAGTGGCTCTCTGCAGGCTCCCTGCCTTCATATCCAGCCCCAGAAAGAGGGAAAGGCAGCGACAACAGCTCTTTCTTTGGAGCAAAGCAGACATCCTCCCCATCCCGGTGGCTGTGGTCTCAGAAGCTGGAACTCTCATTAAGCAGGGAATGTGGAGCTCTCCGCAGGGTGAGGCAGGCATAAATTTCCTCTGTTTGTTTTGTGAGGACTAGTGTCGACTGCCATAATGAGATCAGAGGATCCTCCAGGGATGAGGCCTCCAGGTCGGCTGCTGGAGCCGTTTTCTGCGGCTGTTCTCTTGGCTGCTTTTGAAGGAGGCCGTGACTCCACAGGACTCGATTATGAGGCGGGGAGGTGGTTGTGCCCTTGTTTCATTCCTTGCCCTCTTGCCTCTCCGAGGCTACCAGAACGTCCGCGTGCAGTCGTCCAGCTCTAAATCATGGAAAAGCTCATGGAAGGAGGACAGCCCTGGTCGTGTGCAGAAAGAGCAGTCGCGTACTGGGAGGTGATCGCTTCCTTGCGAAGCTGCCTGCGCGGCGGATGCGTGGCTACCCTTAGGCTCTTCCTCACCCAACATCACTCTGCTGTGGGATGAGTTAGGGTGCGAGTCACAGCAAGGTAGCATATGCTCCAAAGAACAGATTTCTGGCTCTAGCCTGACTTATAGCCAAATGGCCATCTATGGGACCCTAAATACGGCAGAATCGACTTTAGGGAACCCCAAACTGGATATTTCCGGCAGAATACTGTAGACTGAGCTGGTGCAGCCCGACCCACTTCTAGCCCCCTATGCGCACCCCATCCACCCAGAACAATCCTTAGGTATGTTGGGTGAAAGAGAAAATAGTGAGAACTTACAAGGGAAATTCCCATGTGCCAGAAGACATTCATGCCACAGGCCTGTGAGTGACCCAGACCTGGCCGTAGGCTCTAGAGTCTAAGGGCTGTGATGGTTCTACTCCCATGGGAACTGTTTGCCAAAGGGGCAAGTAGAATTCCCCCTAGAGTCTGTGTCAGGCTTTGAGTGTGTGTGTTTGGGATACAGTGATGGGAGATGGAAACCCCAGGTTACATCGTTTGAAGAGCTATAAGGGTCTGCGGTTCCACTACCTGCGTAGTACAGGAACTTCTGCTGTTTTGACATAGACACTAAGCTGGTTTGAGAGCACTGAAAGCTGTAGGGCTCTGGTAGAAGTGAACACTAGACCCCTCTGGACAGGTTAACCACCCAGGACGTTGTGGTTCCCTCAACGAGAACAAGCCACAAGAAGGAGAAGCTGGTATTGGGAAGTACAGAATTAGAGCCTCAGGAAAGCAGAGATGAACAAACAGTGAATCCCCGAGACTGCTTTTGACAAGGGCCCATCCTGCCAATTTGAGCTTTCTTCTGAGGATTAATGAAAGTCTCCTCCCAGAGGAACAAGGCATTACACCCAATCTGGCTTACTAAGCAGATGAGTTTCAG